GTTTCACTTCTGAGTTACATAGTCTTGTGTTGTGCTCAGCAAAGTTCATCTCTTTATTGGGTCATGCTGCCATAGGTCTCTTTCAGAAAAGGATGAGTCAATAGGCTCCAGTGCAATTTCATAGTTAGGGCAGGAGATATGAAGGAGGATACTGAAGGAGGAAAGGTCTAGATTGGATGTGAGATAAAAGTTTTTTACTGTAGGGGTGGTGAGACACTGGCACAGGTTGCCCAGGGACATAGTGGCTGCCCTGACCCTGGCAGTGTTCAAGGCCAGACTGGATGAAGCCTTGAGTAACCTGATCTAGTGGGAGGTGTCCCTGCCCAGGGCAAGGGGTTGGGACTAGATGATCTGTAAGGTCCATTCCAATCCCTAAATTCTATGATTCTATGATATGCAACCAAAATCCATTAAATTGAAATATTTTTTGTATTATTAAACTAAATTAAAATTAACTGGTAGCACATAGTAAGCTGTTTTTAGTCAAAGTACCTTCTGCCACCTAAGAGTCATTGGTTGAGGAGGTATAGCCTTAATTAAAATAAGATGTCATATTTAAAACTGACCTAATTTATGATGTTGGCAGCATGGAGGAACTGAATGATTGTGAGATTTGAAATTGTCCTTTTGTACTTTTCTGATCCAGATGAAAGTTTCCCCATTTTTGAATCATAGTACCAACAAAGGTTATTCAAATTGAGAAGTGCTTTCCCTCCTAAATATAAATTGAGCCAGGTAGAAACAGGTTTGGATATGTTTTACTTTAGCTTACCAAATTTCTGGCAGCAGTGAGAACTAATAGCTCTTCTGGTTCAAGTTGTTAGTGATAAAATAGCTTATGGAAGACAAATAGTAACAGTATGCAGTGTAATGTGGATGTAGTGTACCCTGGATTTCCAGCTTTGTCTGAGGATGGTCTTGGACTGGTGCTGGTGTATGTGGCTGATATAATCTCAGTTTGCAGCTCATTAAGTGGGGATGAGGTTGTTGGAGGAGGTACCCCTGGCTGTAACAAAATTCAGAGGTTGGTTTTGAAGTATCAGCTCTTTGGTCAAGTGTACTTGAGGTACTTAAGTATCTTAGTGTTTAAGAAGAAAAAAAAACCTACCTTATTCCTGGACTGGAGTCAAACATTGTCATAAACTATCCCAAGCCTCAAACTATTTGTGCAAAGAAAATCAAATGCAACTTGCAAGATCATTTTGTGCTTACATTTAACCAGAGTAAATTACACCGGCTGGTGACTGCAGGTGCTTTAAGTAAGAGCCTGATTTAATCCTGAAGATGATGTTAGGTACAATTTTGTTACCCCCTTTTCAAACTAAGTGTTCTTCTGTCTTAGTAGTGTCCCATGTTAGATGAGGGGTTTGCAGTTTCTAGCTGATGATCAGATGTAATTCTTACTGTTCAGGCATTAGCTGTGAGCTGTTACATGATAGTGCCAAAAGGTGAGAGACAGACTGGGGGAAACTGGTTTCCTCTTGATGCCTGACTGGAGAAATTGGTCTCCTGTGCTACAGACTGTTTAATATGCAATAGCACTGAAAGGCTCCATGCAAGGTTGGACACTTGTTCTTTGTGTAAACAAAGACCATCCCTGCCCTACGGCCTGAACTGCTTGGAAGTGACAAGTCAATCCTAAATGAATAGCTTTGATCATCTCAAAAGTGGTAGGAAATGAGGCAGGGGCCTATAGGAGTGTGCCCTAATTATCCATCACAGGATTTAACATAAGCTCCTGTGGATTTGTGCTGAATTCAGTGCACCTGGTGTTGAGGCAGGACACATCACCCTGCCTTTGAACTGCTTAGATGGGCACTGTGTTGTGTCCCAAATGGGAAATGTCCTATTTCATTGAATGGGGGATTTCTACCTCCTTACTCTCCCTTGTGGCTGTTGATTTTAGTTTCAATTTCTATTATTTTACACTGTGTTAGAGCATTATACTTCTGAATTCTGTTGATACATGGGTTTTTGAGGTGCATTTGGGTTTTTTTCTTAACTCCGAAAGGTACTAGAGGACAATTATTGAAGTGTTCAGCTGTGACAGCTAGAACTGTAACTTCATACCCTCTTTGCCCCTCCTTGACAGACCAGAATAGGCAATCAAAGACTGTTTTGCACATCTCTGGGTGTGTTAAACCTTTTTTTGTGGGAAGCTGTGATCGATGTTTATCAGCAGTGTGGTGTAGCACAGGAAAGTGTTGTGTTGGCCTTGATGCAATACTCAGAATAGTTATAATCTGTTGCTTTGAATCGAACTAATGTGTGTGGGTGTCTCTCCTCAGACACAGGCGCTTGGCTTTGTTGAAGCAAGTGAGTATCCGAGAGAACTGCTGCACACTGTGCTGTGATGAGGTAGCAGACACAGAACTCAGGCCGTGTGGACACAGGTAAAACCTTAGAAACAACCCCAAGCCCAAGAAAGAAGAAAATGTGTGTGTGACATTTGGGCCATATGCAATCCCTGCTCATCCTGACTGACTCCCCAGCATAAAGGGAATGACCTCCTCTCCTTTTAAGGATGTGACATAGATTAAGCACAGTATTCCCACTGTTCCCCTCACCCTAGACCTGCTCAGATTGAATCCCTGTGTGTGTGTGTTTGGGGAAGTACGTGGCTATGTCTGTGTTGCCCTTGGGCTGCCAAGTCTTAATTCCCTGACATCAAAGGCTTTACTTATGAGTACTTGGTACAGGTGCTGTGAAATTCAGATCATGTGAAGAAAGCACAAAATTCATAATATACTCAAATACTCATTGCATGTTCAACAAAGGGTTTGTCTCAAGTCGCAAATCCCTCTAAAAGCTAAAAATAGGAGAGCAGTATGAATTATACCATAATAGCACCTTTAATCTACTAGGAAATTAATCCAGTTAAGTCCAGTTCCTTAGGGTTTTTAGAGCCCTCATGGAAGGAGTCTTGCTATAGGTCTAGATGCTGGAAAGTTAGAGATGTGCCTGGTGTGTGCCAGCAAGAAGTGGAGAAGCTTCCTG